CAACACACTGAACCCCTCATAGCTCCTGATGTGTGTCCCATCAGTGCAAGAATTTGATAAAGCTCTGATTAGTCTCTTTAGAATGACTTGTTCAGTTATCTTTGTACAGATCAAGTATAGAGCTGTATGAATGGGTCAATGAGGCACAGATTGTTGTAAAGAGCTTTGAGTGTCTTGAAATAAAATAGAAAGACGCTATATAAGTACAGTAGGGCATTAACAGAGTACTCGAGTAATCTACACATCGATTGCTAGGACATCTATCGAGGTTAAAAATGTTACGTAGAGTGTCCGTAGTGACGTCATATTATGTGACCACCGTATGACCGTAGGGGGCGGTGTTGCACTGTTGCAGGTCACAGAGTATGGTGTAACACGGGGTCCAATCCACCAGAACCAGTTTCGGTTTAAGTTTCGTTTTCTACGTGCTGCATGTTTCTTCACATTTGCAGTTTAATAATAAAAACTAATAGTTTAGTTTTTCCTGTGACTTATTTGCAGTTTGATAAATGTTAGGAGCATAACATACGCTCCCAATGTTTTGTTGGTCTTTTTTTTTTTTTGTAAATAATTACCTTTTTTGGCGGTTTTATTTATTTATTTATTTTTGTATCTTGAGATCTATGACGTCATCAAATACTCGAGTTCTACTCGGGTTTTATTATGTTAATGTCGAGTTTAAAAATTATATACTCGTTCAACCCCTAAAGTACAGTCCATTTACCAACCTCAAAGTCCCCCGACTCAGCTTCCTCCATGGAAGACATGCCGGTGGGAGTGAGAAGTCAGTCCCCCGGCACAAACAGAGTAATATTGTGTATGCTGCTCAGTGTCAGGAGGGTGATCAGTCTTACATCGGGGAAACAAAACAGCCACTGGCCAAAAGGATGGACCAGCACAGAAGATCAACATCATCAGGCCAGGACTCTGTGGTCTACACTCATCTCCAGGTCAGAGGTCACTCTTTCAGGGATGAAGATGTTCACATCCTGGACAGAGAGGAACGATGGTTTGAGAGAGGAGTAAAGGAGGCCATCTTTGTGAAAAGAAACCGTCCATCATTAAACAGGGGTGGAGCCTCCAGGTTCAACTGTCCCCCTCTTACAATGCTGTGATTGCTAGTATCACTCAGCCCTCTGTGAACAGTAAACAGCCATCAGGTGCTAATGATCCATTGTTAGGCTGATGGTCCTTCTTGATCATGTGATCAGCTGGTTTTGGTTGTCAGCAGCAAACTGGTTGATCCACTCTGAGAAGGTGCTATTTAAGAGACTGAGCTGAATACAGCACCTCAGACTGAAGAAGTCCTCAGGATGAGAGACGAAACGTTTCTACATTTTTTTGTTTGTTGTTGTTTTGCTTTGTTTTGTTTTTGTTGAATGGCCAGAGGACCAGATTTAACTTTTTTAGATATTATTAATAGTAGTAATATTATAGGTGGCACAACTGGTAGAGCTGCTTCCTCTCAGCGAGAAGGTTGCCAGTTCAAATCCCGGTCTGGGGGCCTTTCTGGGTGGAGTTTGCATGTTCTCTCCGTGCATGCGTGGGTTTTCTCCGAGTACTCCGGTTTCCTCCCACAGACCAAAAACATGTATGTTAGGCTGATTGGTAACTCTAAATTGTCTCTAGGTGAGAGAGTGAATGGTTGTTTGTCTCGTTTGTCTCTATGTGTCCCTGTGATGGACTGGAGACCTGTCCAGGGTGTCCCCCGCCCCTCGCACAGTGATTGCTGGACATGGGCACCGGCGACCCCGTGATCCAAAATGGAAGAAGCGGGTAAAGATAATGGACACTAAGTCCCACCTGAAACTACTGGCTAAAGCTAAGACGAAATACAGTAAAATTATTATTCACGTCGGCGAAAATGACAGTCGGCTATGCAAATCAGAGATCACTAAAATTAATGTTGCTTCGTGTGTAACTTCACAGAAACTATGTCGGACTCCGTAGTTTTCTCCGGCCTCCTCCCCAACCTGTCCAGCGATGACATGTTTAGCCGTATGTCAGCTTTCAACTGCTGGGCGTCCAGGTGGTGCTCTGAAAACAATGTAGGATTTGTAGACAACTGGAGTTCATTTTGGGGAAAACCCAGTGTGATGCGGGGAGATGGAATCCATCTCACCTTAAGTGGAGCAGTTCTTCTCTCTCTAAACTTATCTGATTCAGGTGGACATCTGGGTTGTTGACAATTAACGGTCCAGTCTAGAAACCAGTCCAGGACTGACTACAGGCTTACTCGCAATTCCTTGAGTTTTGTTACGACGAGAGCTGGCTGCGGGCCACCGGACCTGGAAACCCGCCTTCAGCCCACGTCGCTCCCCCGGCTCGAACCTCCGTCAGAAGCCGCAACTCACACTATCAATAAATCAAGGAGACGTGAATTAAGTTGTATCAGTTATATTAAATCAAGGCAGGAAAAGGTTACAGTTTACAGCGCTGGCCTCTCCAGTACAGTTCAACGCGAGCAGGAACCGGAAGGGGCCGATGTCCCGTGTCATTACTGATTTATAGGTCCTGGACTCCTCCTTCGCAGAAGAGGAGCTCAACCTGTCACGTGTATGAGGGGCGTGGCTAAGTGTGATCTCAAAGATCTTATGTGGTTCTGACGTGTAAAGAAATATGAGATGGTGCTTCAAAAGCCTTTCTACATGATGTAGCGAGCAGAAATAAACTCTATTCCTTGATGGATATTGAATCCCAGGGAGACTCTTTTTAGAGTTGCTGGCCCAGTTTAACCCGGTCATAACCGGGTCATAATTTCATTATAATCCCGTCTCTGAGCAGATCAAAAACCCCAGGACCAGTCAAGATAAAAATCTAACAGTTTCCAGAGGCAGAATGGGAGGGAGATCTTTCAGTTCTCAGGCTCCTCTCTTGTGGAACCCGCTTCCCGTTTCTGTCCAGGAGGCTGAAACATTGTCCAGTTTTACGACTCATGTTCGTGCTGCTGCTCGACGTAATGTTATGCTATTAGTGTTTAGTGTATGTTTAGTTAATGTGTTTCTTAGTTCATATCTTAGATCTTATCACTGTTTTTCTTTAACATTTTATTGTTGGATGTAACTGGGACTCTGTGAACATAATTTTGTTCCACCACATGTACCACATGAGGTGCGAATGACAAATAAAAAACCGTGAATCCTTGAATGAAGAATTTCCTTTTTGATAAATCCTAACGTAATTCTTGACCTGCCATTGTTTATCTATTCCTACTAAACCCAGCTGGTCGAAGCAGATGGTCCTCTTGTCCTGATCCTGGTTCTGCTAAAGGTTTCTTCCTCACGAGGGAGTTTTTCTTTCCACTGTCGCCTTCATGCTTGTTCAAGATGAGAGTTCAGTGATGGAGTTAAACTCAAAGCTGCTCCTCAGATAAATAATGTTAATTATTATTTTATACATGAATGTTTCTGTTCAGTCCCTGAGACGACTTCTGTTGTGACTTGGAGCTTTAGAAATAAATTGAATTGAATCAATGTTCCTATTAATATTTCCTGATGCTGCTCAATAATCCAGGTAGAAAAATCCAAAAAAGTTCAGTCTGGTCCTCTGGACATTCAAAAAACAAAACAAAGCAAAAAAATTGTAGAAACGTTTCGTCTCTCATCCTGAGGACTTCCTCAGTCTGAGGAGCTGTATTCAGCTCAGTCTCTTAAATAGCACCTTCTCAGAGTGGATCAACCAGTTTGCTGCTGACAACCAGAACCAGTTGATCACATGCTCAAGAAGGACCATCAGCCTAACAATGGATCATTAG